GTCTTATCTAATTGGAAGGGAAAGATGGGCTGTGCAATGAGCTGGAATAATGGTCTGGCCAGCTCTACAGTAGTAATTATATTAATCCTTTCTGCTGGGACTAAATTCTTGTTAAATTCAGCTTAGCGGGTATTTGCCAATCCTAATTGGTTTGTGCTCCATTAAATAGTTATATGTACTTTAATCCAATTCTTCTTGTCTCGTAAAATGTTGTTCTAGAGATGAGGAATTAAAAGCTAATTAAGAGTAGTGTTTCCTAATCATTTCCTTCTGAAGGGTAGGGGTAGGGGCAGAAATGTTTGGGCGCAGGTTCCCGGATGAAAGAGAGGCCGTCAGTTATTCCACTGGGGCCACGGGCTGGGAACCCCGCGGCTGAGTCCACGAATGGCCGCAGCTGTGGCTCCATGTAGCTATGTAAACACCCTAGAAGCGTCGCTGCTTTCTCCAGGGAGCTCAGCATCTCAGGGCATGGCTCATCGTACAGAGGCCCGAGCGCCTGGCTGCACGGCAGATAGAAATCTTCGCTCCTGATGGCGGCCTGGGAAGAGCCGCCAGCCCTTTACCAAAGACATCCAACAGGCCAGACGGGTCCACAGCGCTAACACAGTATTTTGAAAATCATGTTCACATTTGTTGTGTATGTATAATATTATCTAGCTATACAAAAATTATACCTATATATAGCTACATTATATATCTATGGTCTTCTAGTGTGTTGGCGGGCTCTAGGGATTGAACACCACTGTTCACTGAGCTACACCCTCGCCCAGCTCTTGTTTTGTTTTGTTTTTATTTTGAGAGAGTCTCATTAAGTTGCTAAGGCTGGGCTCAAACTTAACATTCTTCCTGCCTCAGCCTCCCAGAAAACTGAGATTATAGGCATGCATAGCTGTGATACCATTTTGAAACCCATGGAATTATGTTGTATGGAATTTCTCTTTATCTCGGCATCAACCAAACAAGAGCTGCTGTAGGCTGTCCTCTGGCCATACAAACCCAGAACAGGCTTCTGCTACTCTGTGGATGTTCGTAGTGCTCAGTCCTGGGTACAACAGGCTGAGTGAACGTGTCCTTTGTGGTTCCAGAAACTGAATTCCAAATTTGGGCTGATGTGAGCAGAGAGCACAGGGTACAGGGCACAGGGCACACTCTGGAAGAGACTGGGTGGCCTCCTGCCTCGCCCAGGTATGAGGGCCGGGTAACCTTTCTATAGAGAACACATACCTGACCAACAGCTCATGTCTCAGTGTTTATGTGGGCTGCCAGCTACACCTGCAGGTCTTAAGTTTCTCTCTATTGTCCTGCTTACCCTTTTATATTCTTATACTCTTGTTTATTTGGGGTTTTTTTTTCCCCTCTAAGCCAGTAACAAAGAAGCAGTCTCAATGCAATTAAATCAAAAGCAGCCCAGGAAGTATAAAAACAGCAAGTTGATGGGAGAAGAGAAACTCAAACCAGAGGAGGAAGGCAAACTCACAGGGAGGTGACCGTGTGTCTGGGGCTTTGTCATGGCCTGTCCTGTCACAACCTTCCACTGAAGGGCCCAGGGTGGCTATGTTGGAACCCTACTTTCCAAAGGAGGATTCTGTTTCATTAACATTCACATTCCAGCCAGGCATGAGGACTGCTGTGAGTTCAAGGCTGGCCACATTATGAGTTCCAAACCAGTCTGAACTATATAGCAAGGCTTTGTCTCAAAAACAAGACAAAATTCACATTCCATCTGGCACTTGCCAATTGTACAAGGTCTTGTGGATATGGTGGAATTATGTCTCCATGCACTATTTTACCGATTCTTTCTCTATATTGTCAATATCACCCTTGCCCTGGGTCGAGGACACTGGGACACATTCCTCTTGTCTTATAACCATCAGGCACACTCCTGTCTTGAGAAGGTGAGAGAGGAGATGCTTAGTAACAGGTAATTATAACATAGGGCTGGTTGCCATGGCCTCAGGAGAACTCTGGGACGGGGGATTAGAGAGATGGCTTCTGGAGGAGGTGTCACTCACCGTGGGACATAAAGGTTGAGGAGGGATTAGACATAGTAGGAAGGGCAGCCTTTAGGAGAATATATCATTAAAACCATCTAGAAACAAGGAGGTATAAATTGCAAAATCTGTTGGGCCAAGTAGTTGTCGGACTATAAAAATGACTCATTAAATAACAAGGAACCAGGGTAGGGAGACGGGTGACATTCAGGTCATGGATGTCATAACACACTGCACTGTGGTGCCCCTTAAGATAACGAGACGCCACCACAGAATTTCAAGCAGAGGCTGAAGTGTCCAGCAGCTCACTGGCACTGCACACTTACAAAATGCTTTGGCTCTGGGTCTCAAAAATGCTTCAAAACAACGCAAGGTTAAGCTCCGCAGTTAACAGATCTCTACTTGTCTGTACAATCTAGTTACATAAAGAACACATCTTGCAGAATTTCATTTTTCACAGACAATATGGCACCCAGCATAAGGACTATTTTACTGAACATGTTTGTGGTGAAGCAATAAAAAATTCATTTGAAATTTTTTAATGTGATATTCAATTAGTGTTGTTTTTCACAAATGCAAAAAAGACACGAAAACCCTGGAAGAATATACAAGGAAGCTATAACATCAATAGCCTGTGGACTGCACACTTTTAAAATTTTGAGCTTTGTCAGTACCTTCCCATTTTATTTAGTTTTTGAAAATTAGAAATGGAACCCAGGGCTTTTTGTATGCTAAGCACAGGCTCTGCCACTGCCTCATACCCCAGTCCCTCCAATAATTTTTAAGCCAATTTGGGGTTGGGATTATAGCTCAGCGGTGAGCTTCTACCTCACAGGCACAGCCTGAGCTTGCATCCCTGCAGGAAGGGGAGGGTAAGGGAGGGGAGGGAGGAGGAAGGAGGAAGGGGGAGGGGAAAAGGAAGAAGAGGGAGGTGAAGGGGAAGAGATGGAGGGGGAGAGAAGAAAAGGAAAAGGGAAGAGAGAATGGGATGATTTCGCTTTTGTTTCTTGGCCAGCAGCGTCTTGGTCCTGAAGTCTCTCCTGGAAGAGATGGGATGGGACAAGAGGCAGGGCCGGGGGTGCGGCTGGACTGGCACATGAAACCGGCAGAGCCTGGCTGCTTCCCCAGCCGCCTCCCTGATACAGTGACTGAAACATTCATCCCACGTCCCGTCTGGGAGAAGCAGGAGCCAGGCCATGCTGGTGCCCGGTGGGGGAGTGGGGAAAGCTGCACAGAAGCCCATGGCAGGGGACGTGAGACTCTGTGCTTGCTGTCTTCCAACACACACACACACACACACACACACAAACACACACACACACACACCCTGCTGCCCATATTTCCAGCTCACACAGCCAGGTAAAGCTTCCTTCCACAGCCCTCCCTGCATCTCCCAATCACCCTGTCCTCACTTGGTCACTGGTGATCCTGCGGGAAATCTGCTTATGCTACACAGGAAAGCAGAAAGAATTCCTTCTTTCTTACTGGAAGGGAACAAAACAAGCTCAAGCCTCAGGCCCCCAGACCACAGATCAGCCCCAGCATAGCCCTGGACAAGCTGTGAGAACAGGACCAGCCTCACCACCTTCTTCTGCTCTGAGCGAGGCAGGGATCCTGATGGAGACTAAACATCTGGCACCACTGTACCAACACAAGCCTCTTCAGAGGCCCTGGGCAGAACATGTACATGTGTTCAAGATAGGTACCTGTAAATAACAGGGTAACACTCGTGACCCTGTGATAAAGTTGGATCACTCCTACGAGTCTTTGTGACCGGGTAATTTGGCATCTCTGAACATAAACAGCCTATGTGTCTGCCTCCTTTTGCCCCTAAATAGATTCCTGTGACTCCAGCTTTCAGGAATCCTGAGTTATCTAGGATCTAAATATGTCTTGCTGCTTTGAGTCCACTTTCAGATATAAAGGTATCTATCTTCAAACCACACACAAAAGTATGCCGGCGATAAGGGTCCTACACAGAACAGCCGAGAGTTATTGTGAGCACAAGCACGGGGCCACTGTGACCCACAGCCCTGATGCTGCAATACTGAAACAAGTGTACCGGATGTCCGGGGAACCACACAACCTATGAGAAACACAATTTTGAAAGCAATCCCAGCTTTGAGTCCAAGAAAACCTTTGTCGCTGTCTTCCACCTTTAGCTGCCTGGACCCCTTTTCCAAATCATCACACACACACACACACACAGCCAACGATTTCACAGCTTGTAAAAGCCAGAGGTCACAAATGAATTTCTCTTAAAAATCTGGGACCTAAAAATTAGAATGTTCTTTGGATTGACTCCAGCTTGAACCTCTCTGTTACGTACTCCTCTAAGCAATGAAACAGCAGGTTCCGTTCATTGACCACAAGTGAACAGAGAAATGGTTACCTGCTCAGATCTTAGGCCAAGAGACATTTAAACCACAGTGACAACTTGTGAACATCAAAGAGGATTCTAAGATCCTTTAAAAACAGCCCCCATCCCAAACAGCATGGCTCCGTCAGTAAAGCTCTGTAACATCTCTGAGAGGAACAGTAGTATTTCAGCTCACACATTCTAGGGTGCTTACCAAAAAAGTCTTTGACTGGCACTGCCGTCTGCCTCGCAAATGCAAGGTCCCGAGTTCGATCAAAAAAAAAAAAAAAAAAAAAAAAAAAAAAAAAAAAAAAAAAAAAAAAAAAAAAAAAAAAAAAAAAAAACCAATCTGAAGGACCCTGAAAAGTATTAATTCAGAAGACAGCTAAAAGTCAGCAACCATGTGATACATAAGCAAAAGTACTTTTTCTGGAGTTACTGCTGGGAATTCTTAGATCACTGTATCTCACACACTTATAAAACCACAGAGCTGGCAGGAAAACATCTCTTTTAAAAGCAACTGCAGTCATCATTTTCTACGTATTTAAGTTTGGTTCCAAATAATTTCAAATGAGTCAGTTCCTCAGGGAATAAAAATTAGGAAATTTAATCTACCCATAAAAGAAATGGAAATGGAAATTAGCACCTACCGGGAATCCTATTCAGTGTCACCCAGAAATGTTCATCGGGGCTATAGGTGTCTCTGGACCACTGCAGCAGATCAGTGGCCCTTTGGTCATCCAAGACAAAGTTGGCAAACTCCCTGGTAAGGGCCACATATGCTGTGCCAAAGTAGATGGTCAGCTGATGTGGAGGTGAGGTTTTCAGGATATTAGTATTTTTCACAATGGAGCCACCTTTTCCTGTGTATTCTCTGTGGACGTATTTAGTCCGCCCGATGGCGTGGGCGGGGGGCAGCACCCCCGGGGTCAGATTCTTCCCTCGGAACCCTTTCAGGTACTGCACGATCTCCCTGTTGGTCTTCAGGGGGAAATCTTGCCCGCAGGTGTTGATGACGTACTTCCAGGGGACCTGGGAGGCCACCAGGTCTCTCAGGCAGTTCAGGTCGGCCTGGAGCCTGGAAAACCCTGCATAGACCACAGGTTCCATCTTGGAAGCCAGGAAGGCGTTGGAGAAGCAGCTCAGCAACCGCTGCACTGAGCTTTTAAACTCGACTGAGGACTTGGCATCCACGTGCACGCAGTAGACGTTGTGGGGCATGTAGACGGCCCGAAAGAGCCTTTCGAAAGTGCCGAAATCCTTATGGATGACCATGACGTAGGCCAGAGGGAAGGCGGCCTCTTCTTCTGACAGTGGCCTGGTGATGTAGTGGTTCTGGACCACGTAGTCCTCGCAGGGGACTCTGCCCAGAGGTGACACAGACGCCTTTCCCCACACAAAGGCCGGCTTCTTCTCTAAGGCGTAGTCGCAGGCGTCAAGTCTGGGGACCCTTTCACCGGAACTGTTCAGCCTCTGGTAAAATTTTGGCAGCCCTAAGTGGCTGTTGTAAAATATCACAAAAATAACCACGCTGAGCACAGTGAAAGCCAAAAAGCAATTCCTCCAAAAGTTCATTATTTTTCACTGCCCAGGTTAAAGAATCTCTCTTCAGAGATTGAGAAATGATCACAGTGCCTGAAACCACAAGTGTCAGGGGCGGAACCGACTTTTCTCGCCAGTCCTGAATCTCCACGCTGCTTCTCCCAGGGCCTGGCTGGCTTTCCGGAGGCCTCAGCGCTCCGGGGTCCCCAGCTTCCCATCCATCCTGCCTGCAGTTAGGAGGTGCGACGCCGGGTGCTTCCCCAAAGCCCAAGAACCGGAGTCCCAATTCCGCAGCTCCGCCCCGCCCGCCCCGCCCCCAGGAAGCCTCATTTGCAAACGAAATGCAAGCAGCTTTCTCACTAATGAGGCTCGGCAGGATGGAGTCTCAGCTCCCTCCCCGCCTCACCCCGACCCACCTTCCCTGCCTCCGTCAATCCATTCCCACCCGATCGCCCTTCTCCCCCACCCCCACGTCTTCTACAGTAAGTGGCTCCATTTTTTCCCCGGCCAGCTTCACAACCTGCTAAACAGCCCTCCGAAACCACAGCATTTAGGGCGTCTATTCCTTTTGGTTTCTCTGCCACCTCTTTTCGTTTCAGTGTTATCTCTGACTGGGGGCACACACCAGATAACCAGATAATGACAAATGCCCTTGCCACACGTCTAAATCGATTATCAGCCACACACACAAGGAAGGAAACCTTTGAAGGTGAGCTGTGGTCTCCTAGGTGTGACTGAGCATGCAAAGGTGACTTGTGGCACTGAGGACAGGACAAGGTAAACACACCCTAATCTGCACATCAGAGAGAAACGCAACAGTCGTTTTTCCCAGAAGAGGGCACAAGTTGGTTCCCATTTCACACAGCGCTTCAGATGACTTACACTATTGAGTAAGATCATCTACATGTGAGTGACTGGCTCCTGAGTCTCCTTGAAAGCCCTCAGATAGGAGGTCACGTCATAGAACTCAAAGGCATCTTGGCCTCCACCTTTCACCCTTCCTCTACTGTTGAAAGAGAGAACAAATGCTTCAGGGCTGGGGCAGAATTCCTGGGAGTATCAGTCAGAGCCATTCTCCCGGGAACCAGGAGGAGCAGGTCAAGCCACACTGCAAGAGCTTGGGGTGCTCGCCTGTGCAGGTGTTGCAAGCTGACCTGCAGCCCTCGTGGAGTGAGCATGAGGGGGATGGATCCAGCACTAAGGACACATCTCAGGGAAAAGCAATCGGTTCAGCCAAAAGCTTGACTATGGCAGCCACAGACATGTGCACCAAGCGGGCCTCTGCCCAGCTCACTGCCAAAGTCAGCCTCTTGGTTACCTTGCTGCCTGGGCTTCATGAGACAACCGAAGCAGCTGCCCCAGTCAGGAAAGCACTGGGTGCATAACGCAGCAGTCTACATGCCTGCCTCCTCCCTACCCCTGCCCAGTGCCCCCCAACTCCCCACAACTCACTGTCAAACTAAGAAATGGCACCTGGGGACTGCAGGGGGCTGCAGGGGGCAGAAATTGATTTGGACAGCTGCCAGAGATCTTAGAGACCACCAAACACAACCCCTCTGTTGTACAGATGAGGAAACTAAGGGCACTAAAAACACTCTTCCGGAAGTCACTCCGCTTGGCAGAAACCTGAGCCTTCATTCCACAGCTCCTAAGTTACAATGCCAAAGCCCTAGCCCACCTTGGAGGAGAACGTGGCCCAACCTCTCTGAGCACCAAGGCCTCTGCCTGTGAAACAGTAAATAAGTGTGGCTTCTATTCCATCTGACTGTTAGGAAGATTAAATGAGAAAACACATGCTCATAGTTTAGCAGGAATCGGGGCACCTGGTATGATGAATTCAAAATGCCTTTGCTATGATTATTACTGATGTTTCTTTTGAAAATCATCCAACACTTCTGACTCTGCTAATGACAGCAATAGAGAAGAACATTTACCTGAAGGCTTTTAAATGGATGCATTTATTCCCAAAGGCTAAATACTACTCCACTCTTTTCCATCTCTGTCACACCACCCCTACCCCACTCAGTATGGCCTAGAAAAAAATTATAAACACACACACACACACACACACACACACACACACACAATGTGGCTATGTGGAAGGAACAATTGAATAATCCATTTTGATGCCTTCCTTTTTTTCATTTCTACTAAGCCACATGTTTTTTTCCTGCAAAATATACACCTGCCAAGACTTAGGAGAACAGGAGAGGCAGAGTTGGAGGGAGAATGGGAGGGTTTTCTTTCCTTGTAAATTCAGTCTTTGGGTTTGTTTCCCCCTTCTCTTTGCTCTGAGCTCCAGTCCTATAATAGAGAGCTCAGGTGCATGCAAAAAATGCAAAGCAATGCCAAGAAATCATTCATCATGCTTTGTGAAAGCCCAACACACATAAGGTGATTGCAACATTATTTATAGTTCAAAACAGCAGCAGTATCCAAACAAAATTCCAACGAACAGCGACACACAGTGTGTCCCAGGTTCTCCGCTGTGCTTCAGATGAGCAGAGATTAGAAAGTGGTGCTCTTTCCTTCGCCAGCCCAACTGGCAGGTTTATTTCACCAGTCTCTGTGGTAACCAAACAGGCATTTTCTCCCACCGAGTAATTAGGAGAACTAAGCTATTAATTTCCAGCCAGGACATTGTTTCTGCTCTGTTCCTTCTTGCTGGTTTAACATCTAAAAGTTGTCGTCAAGTGGACATTTCCAAGCTTGCCTCTCTGTGCCCCAGGATCACCTTTCTGATAATGCACACTCAGAGCTTGTGATCAGCCCAGCCCAAATATTAAAACAAAGGCCAGGCTCCCCAGGGGGCCTTCTGGGCTTGCAGGAGCCCTGAGTTCCCATCCACCTTACATCAGTTTGTTTTTTCTGGACACCTTCATGGCCACATTTCCATAAATCAACATACGTGATGCAGCAGGTACTAACCTAAGCAGGGTAACCAGCATCTCTGTCTCTTCAACCATTAACCATTTCCTTATGTGCTGGGAATTTCCTAATCTTACTCATTTAGAAATACAGTTCCAGTTGTTTTGCCCATTTACTTACTCTACTGTGCTCAAGAAGAATCAGAAGTAATTACATGAGTTTTATCAAAGACCAATCTACAGAAGTGGAACCCTTGGCATAATTATTGGCTATTTTGGGGGGAGGGTGGTAGTTTGTTTTGTTTTGTTTTTTGAGGCAGTGGCTCACTATGTAGCCTAGGCTGGCATTAAACTGGCTGGCATTAAACTGGCTGCCTCAGCCTGAGTGCTGGGATCACAGGCATGCACCACCACGTCCAACAATTATCGACTACTGAATCAAGGCAATGCTTATTTATTTTTAATTGACATATATTAAGGTTGGGGAGTTAGCTCAGTGGTCCCACCACCTGCCTCCCAAGTAGAAGGTCCAGAGTTCGAACTCTGATACCCCCAAAAAATGAACATATATTGTTTGTACATATTTATAGAGTGCAATATTGTCATTCAGTACATGTACATATAATGTGCAGTGATCAGGTCAGAGCAATTATTACCATTTCTATGTGCTAGAAACCCTCCAACTCTTCTGGCCTAGTTACTCCAAATTATACAATCGTCTCAGACTGTGGTCACCCTACTATGCCAAACAAAGCCAGAGGTAGGCACAGAAAGACAGACATCATGAGTTCTCCTTCATTAGTGGGGCTAGAAACTCTGGGATGAGTTCTCCATTCTAGCAAGGTCTCCATCCTGCTGTGTGTGAAGGCTTCGAGTCTGTTTCCTTCTGGCACTGTAAACAAAAAAGTCTCCTAGCAACCAAATGGCCCATTGTTGGCTGGATTTGCTCTCCTGGGTGTAGACAGGTAAGGAAAAGTGAGAGACCAAAGCTGGCAGAAAGGCGACAGGGCTGTGACTTACAGACTTAGCCAAGGTGGCATGGAGCTGAAGAGGGGAGAACTGTGGGCATGAGAGAGCCTGCCCCCCACTCCCCCAAGCAAGTGGTTTCCTCCCAGACCAGCAATAATGCCAGGCAGGACCCCAAGTCGGGTGGGCTCCAGCTCTTCCAGTGTTTAAGGTTAGTGAGAAAGTCTGAGTTTTATCAGAAAAACTCCCAAGCTTTTACAGTGGACCCATGACTTATGAACTCCGAGAAGGCTGGCTGTAACTCAAGTTGGTCACTGAAGGCTCAGGCTTCTCTGCACAGCCTGCAAAGTCTCTCTCCTGTACACAGGCAGTGGATCTCAGTGTCCTTAGAAAGACATTGGCCCAGGATTTCTCATTAACCCCACACAGGAAAGGATGTTGTCATGTTCTTTCCAGGACTCTTTAAGGGTTAAATCTGGGTCTGAGACCATCTGGAAGCACAAGTTGCCTCTGGGTTGTAACTCAAGACTTTGGTCACAAGTTAAAACTAAAGTTCTGGTCATAACCCAAGTTGTTTATACGTGAGGCCGGTTGCAAAATGTTATCAACCAATGGACAGATCTTTAAATCATGAGCACATAGACACTCCCACGAGGAGGATGACTTTTGATCCCCATGCTGGGTTTTGGTATACGCATCAGAACACGCAGTCCTTCGATGCTCAGCGAGCAGTGGGCATAGAGGCGATCAGAACAGAAGTTCTTCAGCCTCACAGATGAGAAGTGACACGTTAGAGGCTCGTGGTACTGAGAGACTTCAGCCTCTGTGGTCAACAGCAGGCAAATGGGCCGAGAAAAAATAGTCCAGGCCCAGAGCACAGCTGGGTCCAGTGAATTCAATGCAGGATAACGGGCGTTGCTGCCCATCTCAGTACTGCGCAAGGTCAGTGCCTCTCATTTCTGTAAGATCACTAAGACTGTCCACAAAAGGACTTGAAATCTAGCAGTGAACACTGCTAGACTTTCTTTGAAAATAAACAGTGCAGCCAGGCATGGTGGTGCATGCCTGTAATTCCAGCACTCGGGAGGCTGAGGCAGGAGGACCATGAATTTGAGGTCAGCTTGGACTACAAGCTGGGATTGAACTACATAGTGAGACCCTATCTCAAAAATAATAATAATAATAAATAATAATAAGCAGAGTAGAAAAAGTGACACAGAAATAGAAACATATCAAGAGCTATACATATATTCTGATATGCTAGTCTATTATTTATTTAGTTTTTAGTTATTTGAGACAGGGTCTTGCTATGTAGTTCAGGCTCGAACTCATTACATAACTCAAGCTGGCCTCAAACTTGCAGTGATCCTCCTGCTTCAGCCTCCTAAGGGCTGATATTTATAGGCCTGCGTCATCTGCCTGGCTCCATATTTTATTTTAAAAGACATT